ACCGCAAAGTTCTTAGAGGTCCAGCCCTTTTGTTCAACACAAATGCCCCCCAGAGTAAGTAACCCCAGCCATAAACCATACACTTGCCCGGTTTTCTAACTGTCATATGCTAATTGTGAAATTTCCCTTCCGTGTTGTGCAATTACCTTTTTTCTGCCTAGTTCCCTGGTCCAACATCTCGATGGGTTGTCGTCAGTTCATAATCCGTGCCCGTGTCATAACCACGGGTAAAGTGCAGGACCGGCTAGGCCCACGTGAGATCCATGGCCCTTGCTCAGAAACGAAATCGCATAGTGCAAGTTCTGGAATGCACTCTGGGCCGTGCTCACGCCCTGTAAACCAGGAGGCATGACCATGTGAGGTAGTATGAGTTTCATTTGAGTGAAGCAGACCACATTATGCTCTGGAGTGTAAAGGTGTAATGAAGTCGTAAGGACTTCACACACCCCATCATGGCAACTTTAGAAGCAAAAAGTACATCGTCTTCTGGCCCTCAAGGTGTGCAAGTACCACAACCAGTGCAATAACACCCGACAGGTCCGGCCTGCAGAGGTTAGTAATTGGAGTGGGGGTGTTAAATAGGTAATCTTGTGCGCTCTTAAAACCTCCCGTTGGTTTTCGGCGAGACAAAAGTACATAGCGTGCAGCTTCGGGATAGCTTCAAAATGAAAAATAAACTTAACTGACGAAATTAATGACACGGCAGTCGGTAATAAATTCGGAAACGAACCCCTTATCTGCTGCATCCTGACTCATCCGCCTGACAAGAACCGCAGCGCGGGGTCGTCGCACCAAACTCCTGTGGCCAATTTTTTCCCTTCGTGTGTCTACCAGTTTCCACTAAGTAGAGCAGAAGCTGCAAACCCCTTTCCAACTTGGAGGCTGGAATTTTGAGGGAGCTTTCTCAGATTCTCTCTATCCATTTTAGATGTCTCTGAATTCCGAAAAAAGGGCTAAAAACAAGGAAAAGACTCGGGTTGACAAAGTTTACTTATTTACTGTTATTATTATTGTTGAAATAATTGTTTACGAGAGTGAAAACTATGCCTCACTGACTGGCACGAAAACTGATTTATATAAAGCTGATATAATTGCCATGGCCTACATCATATTCCGCAAGGGTTCTGCACGTCATGGTTTCCATGTAGAGTCCTGTGGAGTTTATGTATGTGAACTGTCATTTGTCAAAAGATTTCTGCGTATCGTTCCACGTTACACAGTCATATGGAAGATGCTTAGATGAACCAAAACGCAAGATGTAGGTGAAGAGTGTCAACATCTACCAAAAAATGAAACACAAAAATTCTAATAATGTTTGACCTCTATTCTTCCATCTCAGGCTTCCTAATCGATATGGTCAATACCAAAATGTTGAGTTTAAAAGAAAACCAAAGATTTAGTCTACTGTACTGTTTTGCGGAAAATTAAAGTGTAATCAAATCACAGCACTTATACAGAAAGCTCGAGAAGGGGCTTATACGCACGTATATCTTGTTAACATTTATGTAAACCTGGTTTTTATTCTCAAAAGTGGAAAAAGCAGTTTCGCTATAGTTTTCGATGGGATTATACATTACAGAGAAGGGGTACTCGGAAACCTTTCCTATTTTGAAACTTGGACATAAATTCAAAATGTTTATCTTTAGTACGAAGGTATTCACTGAACAGTGATTATTTTCCATGGGAACGATGGCAAAAAACGCTTCTTATATGTCCACTAATAAAAAGTCCATTTTTAAGGATGTGTATCGGAAATTCCGGGATGTTTTTCAAGTATTTTGTCAATTAGACAGTATCTCAAACGTGAGATTAAATGTATGCATACATTGTCACTGCACCCATTCACATGGCTTAAGAAGTCTGTCAATAATTAATAAGAAGGAATTAAATCAAGTTTCGATAGCATGTTTTCTTCGGTACATATTCCCAAAGCCTAAAATGCCTGTATTACTTCCTACGCCAAGGGTAATTGAGTCGAAGCTGTTGATTTTTTCTAATTTCTGGCACGTACGGCATATCCGCATTCCGACAGCCTCATACTGTTGATAATAGGCTCATTGACAGGTGCACGTTGTTAGTGAACGTCGCCCAGTAGATAAAGTGGTTGAGAAGGAAACTGGCAGGCGTTGAGGGTTTTTGAGCAAGGACTGTGCGTTGGATATTATTAAAAGGACGTGGTTAGATCGCCGATAAAAGTGGAGGGGAGAGTTCCAGAAAGCAGTCTATAAGAGTATCAGATCGGTGTAATAAGAGGTCTATTGGCCTGACGTTCCGGATACTACTAGAGCCCCTCATCAGACGCAGTCGCAGATAGAGTCGATGGAGGCATAAGGAGTGCAATATTTATAGGCCGCAATTTTCATGCCACCAAATGCCTCATATGATTGGCAACTCCCGAATGCATCGCTGGAGGTCGTAATTGATGCGATGATTGCTTGTCAGTCCGCAACAGACTCATCATTTGCCGAAGTGTAAACCTTACGAGAGGCGACAGCCGTGTAAGCCACGAGGTGCTTAAGTCATGCTCCTCTGGTCCCCCAGCCGACCAACAAGCGCAATGACCTCCCGAATCCATTCTCTGCGCTGAGATTTTGCCTGGGCGGGGTGAATAGCCATGTGGTCAGGGTACGGGCGACGGACGATTTCAGTGGACAGAGAGTCAAATAGCCGAATGGTTATCACGCCAAGAATTCACAACGGTGGCTACATTTCGGCAATTAACGACTCGCGTGCAGAATAGTATGCAATCCTTGCATAAAGTACGAACCGCAGCATTGGAAGCAGGGACTGTCAGTTAGGTAAGCGTGCGACTGCACTGCTGTCTCTGATGATGGGTTCGAGCGAGAATCCGAAACATCAGGTCAATAAACCTCTTGTTAAAATAATCGCATCTTTTTCTGATAGGACTGACTTATGTGGACGTCCAAACAGGACATGAGAATAGGAACTGCCTGCAACACGGGTGACTTTGAACCAAGTCCCATCGGAATTAGGGTTAGGTTTGAGGTAAAAGTTAGGGTTAAGCTAAGGGTTAGGTTTAAGGTTAGATTTACGGTTAGTGGTAACGCATGCCAGGATCATGGTTAGGGTTAAGGCAGGGCCTAGTGCCAAGTGCAAAGTTAAAGTTTAGGATAGGGTCAAGGGCAGGATTGGGGCAACGGCCAGTTTTAGGTCAGATGTGGTTATGTAGCCCCACCTGAAGTAGACAAAGCCCAGCCACCTGTAATACGTAACCGACAGTAATAGGCGTTTTTACAGGTGGGGCCGGTGAACGCACAGGCGATGAAGTCAGGTAGTTGTGTGCAGAAGATAAGCTACTGGGAATGCGCGATTGTAATTTGAGTGGTTGGGAAATGGTTGCCCTAATCTTTAATCCTAATCCCCAACCCCTAACCTTGACTTCTAACCCTAACGTTTAGCTCCAACCCCTAACCCTAATATTAGCCCATAACTCTAACACTTAACCCCTAACTCCAACCCTAACAGTATTGTGTCCTTCCGGTGGGGCAACATAGCCACATGTTATCTAGTTTTATATTAGGATTATTGGTGGGATTGGGGCACGGGAATATTTTGCTCTTTCCGGAATTATGCGCAGGTCATATGGAAACCCTTTTAACAAAGATTCAAAAACTTGTTTATTACATTCGTCGTCTACGTTCATATCTCACACCCCAGTCCTTAATCTAGCGATTAATAGATGGCTGTATTCTTCCACCCATTCTTTATTGTTCTCCAGTTATTTTTCCAGCTTTACTTAAAAAAGATCTAATTATTTTTAAACGTGTCATTCGAATGCTCGCCTCTGCTGCTGGTGTTTCCTATCATATTTTAGTTAATATCATCGTGCAGCGACACTTCAATACGGTGGAGCAATTTGCTGAGCGAATTCTGAATGACACCGTCCATCCCCTTCATAATGAGTTAATGGCTGCGAAATCCTTACGCCCCATGCGTCGATGCTTCCGCCACATCCCTTGTCGCACTTCGGCTTATCAGAATTGCATACCGCCATTTCTAGCCCGGTATCTCACCTGCAAAGATGTTGAAAAACAAAAGCTAAAACTCGATCTTGCACCTTAAAGTCCTTTTTTCTTCATATATAATTATGTCCGCCTGTCCAATACCTGTTAATCTCTATGGTAATCACTGTGTACTGGAGAACCGTTTTTGCTGAAAGTTTTGAATGTTATTTTCAAAATAAAGCATTCCTCTCTCTCTGTCTACCTTTATTACTTGGGGGGGGGGCGTTCCTATTTTCATGTCCTGTTTAGACGTCCACAAAAGTCCGTGCCGCTCTTCTTTTTATGATCTGACGGGTCACTTGCAAATCCATGGCCCTGTCTGGACCACCGCAGGAGGTCACAAGGTAAGTGAACCCTCAGGTAAGAGAACGTTGCTCTGCTGCCCTGCCTGCTTGCTCCTATTGTCTGCCTTAGGCTGCTCCTGTTGCCTGCTCCATGTCTGCTGGACTTCCTGTGTTGCCTTGCCATTGCTGTCCCTGCCTGCTGGCTATGTCTACTTGTCCATCGTTACTGTTAATCGTATATTGTCCTATTGATTGTATCTTCTCTCTTATCCACTTCTGCAACCATTCACCCCGGAAAATAGCAGGAAAGCTGTGCTTCTTGTCTCTCCGCTCTACTCTTCTCCACTCCCGTTTACGGTCCCAGGCTAACTCGGGTCGTTCTCTCACTAACGCAAAGTCGTGGCCCATAGTGGAGTTCGGAAGCTATCTGAGACAACCGAGCAGCCCTATTTAGGGAGTGCTGTCTGCAGGCTGGCCGTGGACGCAGACAAAAAAATGCACGGTCGAAACAATCAAAGCAGAAACAAATACACACTCTCTCCCCTTCCTCCTTTTTTTTTCTTCTTCTTCTTCTCCCCGTCGCCCCACTTGCTAGACCGGTAGGGTGAGTCCGCTCACTCTGGCAGCCCGGAATGTTCGTTTCCTTTTAGACAATCCGAGGAGCAAGCGACCGGAACGGAGGACGGCGCTAATGGCTCGGGAACTGGCGCGCTACAAGGTGGACATCGCCGCACTCAGCGAGACCCGGTTCTTGGAACAGGGCCAACTGGAGAAAGTTAGTGCCGGCTACGCCTTCTGGAGCGGTCGCCCACAGGCAGAGCGACGGAACGCGGGTGTCACCTTTGCCATCCGAAACAACATCGTGGGAAGACTGCCCTGTCTGCCGCAGGGCATCAACGATCGCCTGATGAGCCTCCGTCTGCCTCTCTGGGGAGGCAAATTCGCCCCCCATCATCAGAGGTTACGCTCCGCCGATGACCAGCCCTGACGCCGCGAGGGCTAAATTCTACGAGGACCCGCACGCCCTCCTGACGACTGTGTCGAAAACGGATAAGTTGATTGTCCTTGGTGACTTCAACTCCCGAGTCGGCACAGACCATGCTGCCTGGAGAGGAGTGCTAGGTCCTCATGGTCTCCACGGTTCCAACGACAACTGCTTGCTCCTTCTATGAACCTGCGCAGAACACCGACTCATCCTGATGAACACTTTCTGTAGCATCACAACGCGAGAGAAGGCCACATGGATGCATCCTCTGTCGCGTCAGTGACACCTACTGGACTATGTCGTCGTCTGGAGGCGAGACCAGCGGGGTGTGCTGGTGGCAAAGGCGATTCCGGGTACTGATGGGTTAACCGTGCATCGCCTCGTCATCTTGCAGATGCGGAGTCGCCTACAGCTTCGCAGGAGACCACAAGGTAAACGGCCCCCAGGTAAGCTGAATACTTCCGTGTTGTCTTTGCTTGCTCTCCATCTCCATTTCAGCAATGAGCTAGTCCAAAGGCTAGACCACATTCCAGTCGCTGCTGCCGCCGTCGCTGCCGAGAAAGCCTCCGTGAAGAACCGATGGTGTCAACTGCGGGACGTAGTCCTGTCGACGGCGCTGACCGTCCTCGGTTGCGCACGTTGCCCACACCAGGACTGGTTCGACGAAAACTACGCCACAATCAGCAACCTGCACGCCAATAAGAACCGCCTGCACAAAGTCTACACAGAGCTGATTTTTTACCGTAGTCGTCACCTCACTCAACAGCGACTGCGTGAGATGCAGGACCCCTGGACGGCTCTCAAGGCTGAGGAGAACCAAGGGTACGCGGACAGCAACGAGTGAAAGAACTTCTCCGCGATCAAAGCTGTCTACGGTCTGCCAACCAAAGTCACTGCTCCTCTCCTCAGCGCCGACGGCAACACTCTCCTGACTGAAAAGACGCAAATCCTACAGCGATGGGCCGAGCATTTCCGAGGCGTCCTCAGTCGCCCCTCCGTCATCTCCGACGCCGCCATCGAGCGTTTGTCGCAAGTGGAGACCAACGTGGGCCTCGACCTCCCGCCATCTCTCCAGGAGACCATCAGGGCCGTGCAGCAGTTCTCCAGCGGGAAGGCACCCGGATCGGACGCAATCCCTGCTGAGGTCTACAAGCACGGAGGTCCCCAACTGATGAATCACCTGACTGCGCTCTTCCAGGAGATGTGGCGTCAAGGTGAAGTCCCGCATGATTTCAAAGACGCAACCATCGTGTATCTCTACAAGCGCAAAGGGAATCTCCAAGTCTGCGACAATCACCGCGGCATCTCCCTGCTGAACATCGCCGGGAAGATCTTCGTCCGCATCCTTCTCAACCGCCTCAATAACCATCTGGAACAGGGCCTTCTGCCGGAAAGCCAATGCGGCTTCCGTCGTCATCGTGGGACCACGGACATGATCTTCGCCGCCCGCTGACGTCAGGAGAAGTGTCAGGAGATGCGGGCCTACCTGTACTCCACCTTCGTGGATCTGACGAAGCCTTCAACGCGGTGAATCCTCAGCAGTTACGTCATGCTGAGAAAACAGCAACTGCGTTAGGTCGGTTATCTCGTGTGGATGGACAACGAGCGGCTACCTAAACGACTCTTCTATGGAGATGTCGCGACGTGTTCCCGCCGCCAAGGAGGCCAAACTGGTCGATACAAGAACAGTCTGAAGACCTCCCTGAAGCGCCTGCAGATCAACCCGGCCAACTGGGAAGACCTCGCTCGAGACCGACCGACCTGAAGAAGGACAATGAAGACAGGCGAAGCGGTCTACGAGGCTAACCGCATCGCGGACGTGAAAGCCAGACGATAGACACGCAAATCTCAGCTGCGCGCCTCTCAACGCCAGCGCCCAATCGCCCCCAACGTGTCTCCGGCGTCAGCGGACATTCCGGGCGCAAAATAGACTTGTTGGACACCTTCGAACCAACTGCAGCGCTCGGACTGCACCAACTGTCGTCTCTCCGTCCACATCTCCCTCGCCGTCTTCGCCGTCAATTAACTCTGACCGCCATCTCGAACAACCACTTCCATCC